CTATAGCGTGCCAACGTTTAACGGAGATGTCGGTGCCAAGTTTATGGATTTACTGTCTCTGATTGAAACACCAGAGGATTCGGTTAAATTTCTGGTATTTAGGGGCAGCGTGCTCACCAGCGTTGGTGTTTAAACCTCGTAGTTAGAAATAGACCGATGTTAAATAAATTATAAAAAAACATGCTGGGCAGAGTACTGCGTTAAAGTACTCATGAGTGCTTCATAATGACGAGCTTTAAAAAGTATTTATAAATATCTGAGTATGAATACTTATATGAACAATACTCAAAGCAAATGAATACTTATTTTTAGAGAGTATTCGTGAAAAAAATCAAGTAACAAGTATGAGTACCTTACCCATTTTAAATAATTTTAGTTAGTGACTCAAGTTTAGAAAAAATTAATTATAATTATTAGTAATAGAGTAAGTCAGTAAGTAAGAAAAAGAAAATGAGAGTATCGCTTTACTTCTATAAATTAATTAGCACTTACCATTAACGTGTACGCTCAACTTTTCATTTTAATGTTAAAGTAAAATAATAAAGGTATTAGGTAGGGACAGAGATACAGATAGAGAATACTCAAAAGAAGAGTCTTATATTTTAAAACATATGTTACCATGATTCCGTCATTTGACATATTCTTATCTTTTCCGTCCTGTATCGTTGACATCGATAAGTTATTCGGAATTGCCTTAGGTTTGTGACGGCGATGGTAGTGGGATTTTGAAAATTAATTAAATTGTCAGATATATTTTGGAAAGATTGACAGAAGGTTTAAGAATTGTCAGTTGAGAAATTTAAAAAAGTCAGAAAATATATTGAAGTTAAGATAGATATTAAAGTTGGAGATTTTATATCGTAAAAATAAAATAAAAAAGAAAGAAAGATGAAGAATGCTTTATTTAAATTAAAGATAAAGTGTGAATGGAATGGGAAGTAGAACTTAGCAGGAAGAAGAGTTTGTCAGAAGGAGGAGTAAAAGGAAAAAGTTGAGAAACATGTTCGAGGAAACCAGGCAGGAGAACAGGAGGTACTTACAGTAAATCATGATTTATAGCAGAAAGCAGAAGACCAGGAAGCAAAAAAAAAGAAGCGAAGCGGGAGATTTAGATTTTTTTTCAAATTAAACATTTATTAATTGGTATTATTTTTAGGTATTTTTGAAATTTTTGTGGGAAACCAAATGAGCCATAACCCTAAAAGATCTAGAATATTGGCTTGGCTTTCCAAGGTCAGCTGTAGGAAAAAAATACTGAATATCTTAAAATATAAAGTAGGTACTCTAAATTTTTTGAATATGACTCCCAACAGGTTAAAAGTACTAACGCGTACCAATTACTAAGTACTTTGAATACTCGAGTACAATTTTGAGTACAATTTACTCGAGTATTGCCCAGCTGTGGCTAATTTAAAAAAATATAATGACAGCCGTCTTCTAGATAATTGAAGACCATAACTTTAAAAGGGTCTAAGTGCCAAAAGTATGGAAAAAAGTTATGAGCAAAATAAAAATTGTCTACATCATAACGCACATATACATTCGCCGTGTTTATCCCACTACAAAAAATGCATTTCTGTTAAAATGGACTTAGAGTCAGTGGCGGTTTGCCCGTAAGGGCACTTGGGCACATGCCCTAGTATAATAAACAAAAAAAAAATAACTTACATATTTTATATTTTCCTCAATGCCTATTATTATTTTATCTAAAATTCAGCACAAACCGCGTTGGCATGACACTGGACGACCGGGCGTTGAGCGACGTTTCGAGAATTCCGAAATTAAGTGGAAGATGGGCACAGTAAATGTGTGCCTCTGTTGTTTTCTCTCTCATTATGATGCGAAAAACAAGGACAACGACAATATCGCTTAGCAAGAGATGAACACATGCGATGGATTATACGTCACAAGCGGGGCGCTGTCCTTCCTCATCGTGACGTGCTGTACCCATGGCACAGATTACCTAGACCAGATACGAATGTACGCAGCGGCATCTTTACCGGCTCCCTCATAAAGGCGATGCCGGTTTCGGGTTAAGGTGCGCGTTTGTTGGACCATGATAATCATTTATTTATTGTGATTAAGAAAAAAAGTTAGTTGGACTATTGGAATATTTAAGAAATAAAACTATAAAGAAAAATTACTTTTTTTATAAAGCAGTCAAAAATATGAAGAAAAAAATCAATAATATTTATAAATGGGACAAAATTTTAATTTTTCTTTTGATATTGTCTGACTTTTTCGAGGATTTCAAATCTCTATTTGCATATTTAAGAGTATAAAAAATTCTGAGTCTGGTGTACATTTTCGCAAATTGTTTTCTAATTTGAAAATATAAAAGAGAAATTTTTCACTGGGAGATTTTAAATTGCCAAACACCTTTTCTTCAGAGTCATATGCTTTAAAATGCTCCTACACGATGGAAGTTTACATCGAAGTGTGTCAATACTATTTATGTTTATAAAGAGGATTTGATTAAATGTCTCGAAGAAATTATGAACACAAAATTCGATAAAAAAAACTATTAATCAGACTAAAGGGTTGATAAATTTTGAAAAACAGATTTTAGGTTCTGGTTATTTTTCTTCAGCAAAATATTGCCAAATTGTGATATACTTTTTGATCAACTGCAGAGTAGACAGCTCGATGCTCTCAAGGTTAAGATAAACATATCAAATTTTGCAGCAGCTATTCAAAATATTAGAAATAATATAGACACGCTAATTCATGAAGAATGACAATCATAACAAGACCCACAAGAACTAAACTTAAACGACAACACCCAATCAGTTCCAAGTACAAGCAAGAAGAGACGGTTTGTTGAAAAGGAGGACCCCATTCCTAATTTAAGGATATGTAAGGAAATTTGTGATACAATAGTAGTGCAGGTAAATGAACGTTTTAGTTTTACTACACACCTAACAATTGCAAGTTTATTTGATAGTGAAAAATTTAAAGACTACCGAGGTTGTTTTCCAAATGAGGACGTTAAAACTGTGTGTAGTTTATTTCAAAACGTAAACAGCTTAAAATTTAAAAACGAACTGTCCATACTTTACACCCGAGATGATTTTGTGCAACACAAAGGGGCCGTACCGTTATTACAAATGTTTTTTGAGAACAATTTCACAATTACATTTTCGGAATCTGTGGAGCTGCTAGCTATCCTGTGTACAATTCCCATGACCACAGTGGAGAGTGAAAGATGTTTTTCGACACTAAAACGTATTAAAACATTTTTAAGGAACGCTATGTGCCAAGATAGATTGTGCGCGTTAGCCATGTTATCCATCGAAAAAAAACTTATTCGGTCCATTCCAAATTTTAATAATCTGGTCATCGATCACTTCGCTAGCCAAAAATCCAGAAGAATGGACTTCAACTATAAGAAATAGTATACAACTGCAGCGGTACCTAGCAGTTAGTCTTTAATTGTGTAATATTTAATTTGTTTTGAAATATATTTAATTTTCATTAAGTGGAAAACTTGTTTTCCTAAGGGAAAAACGAATCCCGGGATTCCTTTCCAGTGTGTTCCCCACTGCCGCTAGTGCCCACGAGCCGCCACTGCTTAGAGCCATTTGAATATCGTTTGGATTGGTATATTGAACCTTTTTATGCAAAAATGTATATTTTTTAAAATTTGGCACTTAGACTCTTTTGAAGTTAATGTCTTCAATTATTGAACTGTTAGACATTACATATGATTTTATTAAAATAATTAGGGAATGACTACGTTGTGTTATCCGATAAGGAAATCAAATTACTTTGTGTTATCGGATAAATAAATTAAATGACACCTCACGTAATGTGCCTAATATCTTAATCACAAAGAGTTTAAAATCATTATATTTTACAAAAAGTGCAAAAAGTAACCTTAAATAGGTTTTTATATACGAGTAGCATACTAGTACACTTCTTTTTCTACAACCACAATGACTAAAACACAAATTGAATATGTTTTTTTAATAATTTGATGAACTATATATTTGTTTTAAGTGAAATTTCAAAATAACATTACAAAAGTTAATAATGACATTACAATTAGAAATAAAATATTAATAGGTAGTAAATCATAGACTTTGATGTTGTCCATTTTAAGTCAATAATTTTCAATAATCTTAAAGGAAATTAAATGTCGAGATTTGAAAGCAGGTATTTTGATAACGCCAGTTATTAATCATTTAACAATATTTTTTACAAATTACCTATTTTTTTAGTAATAACGGCACAATTATTTTCAGCTTATTTTTAATTAAATAAGATTTTGTTTCTTTATTCGTATACTAAAGGTTTATTCAATGCACTAAATAATGTGGAATGACCGTGTAGAATAATATTTATGCACCATTTATAGATGCGTACGAAATTACCTACTTTGACGTTTAAAAAACAATACAGAATATGTGATTTTATGTACTGGTCATCGAAAAACGTAATTTTGTATTATGTTCGACGAAAAAGTATATTCTCGGACTTTATGTTGCTGGCCTAGGCTAGCGCCTCGATCAGTAATCTCCACAATGACCTGGGTATGTTGCATTCTGCCTAATATATTTATGAATTGAAATTCAGATAAAAAAATTACAATAACTTATATCATATTAAAAATGATAATGATCTTCTATTTAGACTGAATTACCTTTTTTTAGTACATATTTATATTATATTACAGTTAATTCTGAAAATGTAAGAGGGGTTGTTTTTCCACCAGTTTATAATAAAGAAGCCAGGTAAATAAGAAGTGAATAAACATTATTTGATAACTGCGGTTGGTATGCCAATTCCTGTTGTCTCTATTAAAAACAGTTTTTCGGTTCAACCCACTAAAAAGCTGTGGGTAGGTGGACAATAAAGGCTATAATCTTCATTTTAGCTTAATACTTTATTTCGGAACACCCTCTATATTATTTCCTGATTTTTTTATATATTTCTATCACTAATAATTCATCTTTTTAAAACTGCTTATTGATTTTTGTTTTTAACAACTTTTTACTTACTTTCGAAACCAATCCATCGGCACAATTCACAAAACTGACACCGAACGATATGAGAAAAACTAAAAAATGCATTTCAAACGAATTTTTGATGAAAAATTGCCATCAAATTGGCCCGATATGCATTCGATTCGCGTCAATATCGACGAGGACGGTTGAAAGAAAAAAGTGTGTAGAAAGGAGTGATGCCGGCACCGATGCTGACTGGTTACAAACCAGAAAGATCAGCCGCTGATGGGTCTTCTATGATGGGTTGATGGGTGATGGTAAAAAGCCGTAAGAAAATCGTTAACTGGGTTTCGAGGCAGATATTATTACGATTATTACATCCCGTTTGATCGTTGATTAGCTTTCAGCTGAGTCTGATTTCAGGAAAATAGTGTTTATTTAGTTAATTTCCGATATTTACGCTACATTCTATTTTTTTTTTTTTTTAATTTTGACTTTAAAGACAAAATTTTGAATTTAAACCGAAATTTCGACTTTGAATTACAAATTTAGACTTTAAACACGAAATTGGTATTCTCACACCCTCGGATACTAATCCAAAGGTATAGGTTTGCATCACTAATATTAGCCTAGTGATATTTATATCTATTATCATCTATAATCTATCCCGGGAACAACGGAGTAAAGGGTAACAAGATTTCAGACAGTCTAGCAAGGAAAGGTACTCAAACACCCTTTATGAAACCTGAAACTTGTTTTGTGGTATCATCAGAATACATTAGGAGATTAAAAAAGAATTGGAAAGTAGGAGAACCAACAATTGGAATGATCTCTTATCTATAACCGTTGGGACGGAGAACTCCGGGACGCAGAAAGGTAGGGAAGTACGACGGCGGTACGTTGAGCGTCGGAACGTAACAACGTTCAGCAGATAGGTCATCGAGTTGTAGAACGCAAGGACGTAGGAAGGTAGGGAAGTAGGGCGGCAAATGTTGAGCGTAGGGACTTGAAAGCGTTCGGGAAGTAGAACGTCGATAAGAGGTAGGGTAGGATAGGCGTCGGTTAGGAAGAGCATCTATTTAGGAAATATACTGAATACTGTACTTGAAATATAACTAAATTTGAGAAACAACTGAATTAGACTGGATTTAAAATTTTAAAATAATGAATAACGAGTTTTTTTTTAGTTTATTATCGATTTTTCTTAGGTATTTACATTTTCTAGGACATTTTATTTTCCTATTTCCCTGCTATAGGAGTTTTCCTCCTTTTCAGGGTGGTCTGCCCTGATTACAAAAGTAACCTAGCTAGCTAATTCCTATGATGTCGTGTGCGCGTGTGGGACCTGTGTAGCAGGTTGTGTTCCCCAAGAATATCGCCAATTTTGCTATTTCCAACCCCATAAATGGACAAGTCCAAGTATAAGGTGGGGAATATGATTTAGGAAAACCACAAAACCTAAATCACGATATTGTACTATTGTGAATTTCTAATTAAATGATTGGGAAGGGTTTATCTAATACTTAGGGGGGCTGATTCCAGCAGATCTTGGAGTTCGGCGGTGAGGGGGAGGTCTTGTGCGTCTGAGAGAAGTTTCAGATTTTGTTGTGGCATTTTTCTTTTCGGTTTTCGAAAAAGTGGGAGTTGGTTTGGGCGCCATGGGGTTCGTAGAGTGTCTTGAGAGTGTGTGTTGGTGCCTTTATAATAACGAGTCCTGGGAACCGGTATTTCTACCCGTTTTAATTACTTTTTGTGACGTCAATTTGTCGTAACTCCGGTGGGAACGAATTTGAGTCGATGAAAAGGGGTGGTCGATTTATTACGTGCCTTGAGGCTTTCTCGGAATTTTGTTTCGATATCATTTCGAAATCTATATTAATATTCGAAACTGACCTAAGATAAACGCGTCAACTGTTTTAATGATAATTATTTCGTGAAAAGAAATATGTTTGATGGAGGTTTTTGGGTCAAATTCTCATGGGATAACTTTTTATCTTTCCTGGATATTGTGCTAGTAGGTACATGTAATATTAGAGATCCGCGAACAGAAATATTGCTTTTATTTATTAAATATCATAGATCAGTGTTTCTCAAAGTATGCTCCGCGGAGCCCTGGGGCTCCACAAAGCCTCTGCGGAGGCTCGCGAAATTAATAGTCATAATAAAAAAATACTATGAGGAAGTTCGCCGCCACAAAAGCGAGGAATTTGTTTGAGGACCGTTTGAGAAACATTGTCATAATAAAATCTTTAATTAGATGGAATTAATAAATTATAAAGGTACTTGGGTGAGATAGGTTACAACCCCTATCTTACGAAGTGTAGTTTACTTTATTACAAATTTCTATAATCTAAAATTTTAGTCATATATCCTGACTTACAAACAACAATAATTACACATTAAAAGAAAATTTGTTTTTTAGAGTTTTAATGTTAGATAAAGAGTTACTAATATTATTTTTTGTTGAACCCCAATTTCATCACTGTACTTAAATGTTTTTTCTATGATCTTCAAAGCACTTTCAATAGATGATGCTGTGTGCGAGGTACACTTTTTAAAAGATATTTCCAAAAATTATGAGACTATTTTTACTGATGTTAGCAAAATATAAAGAGAAATGCCAAATTTAAAGGATGAGGCTATAAATACCATGTATATTCCCCAATCTCCCTATACTGATATTATAACAATAAAAAATATGTTATCTGGGTTTTATGTTACTCTTAGCACTATATTTATGTATGATTTAAAAATATTTAACCACAATACTGCAATTACCAAATTTCACCATTTAAGTAACTTTTTCGAATTTAGTCATACCTAATTTGCATTTTAAATAGATAAAATCAAATCATTTATTAATTAAAACATGCAAGACTTATTTAGAAATAAATACAACAGTATTTTCAACAAACAAGTTTATTTTTATTATTTTCTCAAAATTATGTAATATTCCCATAAGAAGCTGTGTATTTTTAACATCACTAGCAACACCAGCGCATCTGCGGTGAATTGTAGAAGCTCCATTAGGTTCGTTGTTTGGGACCGTATTTCGGGTATGCCGGTTAGCCCCTCCTTCTCTCTATATATGAGGAGCTCTCCAACCAAAGTGCTACAAATCCAAAAAGTAAAAATTGAAAAAAAAAAACGCAATTACAATTACAGTTATGGATATCGTTACCTTAACATGTAAACCTTCTAACTCAATAATTTTACAGGAGAAGTAAAAAACCGTTTCATGTAGATATAAGAAGTAGAAAAAAAAATTTAATTAGATCACTAGATCTTTATTAAAGGAAGCTCTTAATTATCAGTAATGCATTTTGAAAAACATTCAATTATAACTGTTTTTTTGTTTACATTTTGGAGTTACATATTATACATGCTTAACTTTTGTGGAGATAGTTATGTAATGTAGTAATGTATGCTATGTAAATTTAATTTTTCAAATTAGATTTTGACAGACAGGTAAAATTAGATATAAATATGTAAAAAACATATTTGTTTAAAAGTCATTTGACAAAGCGTAATATTATCATAACATTCATAATAATTAGCTGGAATTACATTTTTTAATTCTTATACTCATTTTTTTATTTTAAGACTCTTCAAAACAGATGATTATTATTTGTAACAAATTCGTTGTTAATACTTGATAAAATACTTTATTTTTTTATGTATTTATGTTTAAATTACAGTATTTACATATTCTACATGCTATTCGCGATTCAAATTAATTTTCGCGCGCCTGTCTTTTATCACCTATAAGTAGGATGTTTGTTTATTTACATGTGTTTGTTTTGGGCGGATTTTGTATTTCTGATTTTTTAATTGTTTTTGTAATAGCGTTTTTGAGTTTCATTTTAGTGTTAATTTCAGTTTGGCTTTCGAGCTTTCGTCATAAATATAATATTTATCATGTGTATGACTTAATTTGTCGAAAATATTCACCTATTGGTTGCTACAAGAACATCTAGAAATATGTATTTACTAAACCCAGGACATGTTTTATTAGGTGGTTTAAAGGACATTTCAGGTACCAAACTTTTATTATTGATGAACTTATTTAAAAATCTTACTATCCTTATTCTTATATTATGAAGTGAATTGTGTAGTACTTTATATACATGTAAATGGTAATAAAACCGTCACAAATCAGATTACAGTTTGATTCTAAACAAAGGTTTGCAAAATTTCAATATTGTGAATTTGTAGATATCCATTTTTCATAGAAACAAAATTTTACGAAATGTGCTTGAAAAATAATGAATAATTCAGTTTTGATTTTGATATTAACACCATAGAGATTGCAATTTGCTGGGGGCTTTTTCACAGATTTCATTTTTAATATAAACACTATCACATACTATAAGAAATAAACAAATTTAAAGCTAAAAAGTAAAAAAAAAAACTTGAATTGTAATTGATACAAATTAAAATGTAAACAATGAACACGGAAGCCAATGTTGCCAAATAATGAACTGATTTTAAAACAAAATTAATAAATGAACTGAAATTTTAAAAAATCAATATAATAAATCGGTTTTATAAAAAATCCTTAAATAAATAAAGAGTATGATTACATATTACTATACACAAATTTTTATTCTTAAATAAAAGGTCTTATCCATTTCTTCAAGAGCTAAAAATCCGACGACGTAGTGAAATTTTGCTACTTCTGGCAACACTGAACGATATCCTACTTATAGGGACCTTCTACAAATTTCTCCCAAAGGGCGTATCCCTTAGTTTGAATCGCGAATAATCAACATTTTTCACGTCTGATTAAAGATTTTATTTGAGAATATTTTGAATTTTTTTTAACAAGTCGATTTTTATTCCAAGCAAGACACATTTCTATCATATCCTCAACTATCATAAGTCATTCCCCTCCCTTCGTCACTCAAACTAAGACAATTTAATAAAGAAAATTAGCAAGTATGGCACATCACTTTTGTTTTTAGTGTCCTCTAGCGGGATAAAAAACTGTTACGTACTGTGAAGTGTGTCAATTTATTAGCAGTTCAATATATCACGTAACATTATTCTAAAAATCTCTGTATTACACTTGCAACAAGATAAAGTTATTAATAATGCCTTTTTTAAATTTTAAGTTCATTTTTGATTTTGTTAACATAATATTATGTATGCATTGAATTGCTAATAAAATTGTCACAATACATAAAAAATTTATTCCGCCAGAGGGCGTTAAAATAAAAAGTAACTCAAAGAACAATCATATTGCTGCATTTTCCATAAAATTACATTTTCGTTGATATGTCAGACTTGCTATTTTCCTTATTTAAATTGTACTGGTTAGAGTGA